GGAAAATGTACACTGGATTAGAAAGACATACATATGTCACCCTCCACACAAGGTAGAGTATGGACCATCTCTAGTAAAGATTCTTTGGAAGCAAAAAGGGATTTTAATTCATTCCAATTATTTTCATGAGAGTTTTGCACTCTTTTTATCATGGTCAGGAGGATCACTGAAAAAAAAAGTTAGATGTAGTACCTTCAGAGCATGGGGCTGAAATGAAATACAGCCAAGCATGGTTCGGGGGAAGGGAGATGTTAGAAAGGAATGTGAGCAGACATTTACATTGCAGAGTATCTGAGTTAGGTCTTCCATAGAAATGCCACCACAGAATAATTGCAGAAAGAGAAAAGCCCTGGGCTGAAGCATCAGGTGCTGATAAGATTCCCATTAACAGTTCCTGGATAGTAATCAGAAGAGTACAAAGGATATTAGCACGAAAATGCCCAAGCTAAGATTGCTAAATATTTGGCCAAGATGGGATAGGGAAGAGAATGGGGAAGCCAGAACAACTCCACAAACAGTGGTTGTTGCTGAATATTTATCAACAATACACTGGGGATGGGACAGAGATTATGGGAGGACAAGGGGAGATCTTCGGGCAAAAAAACAGTTGAATGTGGAAGCACCAGGTGCTGGACCAAGAGGAGGACCTAAGGAAAGGAAGATATGAACATTTGAAATGTAAGGGGGCCTGAGCAAGGACCAAGCAGCTTCAGCCATCCCTACTGCATTTGAAAGAAGAGTGGAAATGAAGGACAGGAAGCATCAAACCCTAGTGGCCTAGGATGGGCTGGGCAGATGGCATTCAGTGCAAAAATCAGGCTGGTAACAAGAAAATGAGCAAACTGGGGCATTTGAACTCCACTTACAGACAGTTCCTGGCACCAAAACATTTCTGGATCCTACTGTTCACAAGATACACCTCTGGGCATGGCAGGAGGCCCTCCAGACAGACAGTAGCATCAGCTCTGGGGATCCCCAGCAGACACTATTGCAAGGGGACTGGGGCCAGGATTCATTTCTCTTTCTTGAGAGTTGTGCAAACACTGGCTTTCCCTGTACTCATCAGACATGCTGCTCACTCCTAGCAAACAGAGCATGCCCTACCACTGGCTCAGACCAGAGGAGCATGCCAAGGTGTTGCTCTGTTTGGTCCAGGCACTGGGACACAGGAGCTCATGTAGTGGTGCTTGTACTCAGCTGAGAAACAGGCCAGGGCCAGCAACAGACCACGCTGCCCAGGCCCATCCATCATCCTGGCCTTGGCTCCAACTCCAGGAGCTGGGCTGACTGGGCAGTGCAGTTGGTTCAACTCTCCTCCCAGCTCCTGCAGATGTCGGACCTGGAGCAGGACAGTGGACATATTGAGCCATTGAGGCCTGTGGAGCTTAGGAGGGAGCATCAGCTGGGGCCACAGCCTAGCACTAGGATGCAGCCACTTCTGGGGTGGGATGTGTCAGGAGCTAGGATGCAGGGACACAAGATGATGGGCGAAAGGACACTGGGGGTCCCCTGGCTCTGGGTGGGGCTGGCTGGCACCTCATAGCTTTACTTGTTCAAAGAGTCGTGGACGTCCATAGGTTGCAGCCTACTTTGTCACATATATGGAACATCTATGTTTTATATGGTCATATATGCAATTTATGTTCATGTATCAACTTATGCACTTAACAGTGATATTTGGGAGTATTTTTGTAGAAATGATGGAGTTGAAAAGTCAGGATCGCTTAGAGTGGAAACAGAGAGTGCTTTGTATCCCCTGTGTGCAACCAGTAAAAAACCAAACTATTGAACAAACAGTGAGCAAACAAATGTCCATGCCCTTTGTTACATCACAGAAGTGGCCACGATGAGGGTGACATCAGTTTGCTCTGGCCTTTAGTGGCAGACATCTGTTTACTTTATGGGGCACTCTGGGCAGCCCCCCTGGGCAGATAGTGCAGCATATGATGGGCCCAATCTGCCTGGGCTCAGGGAGGACTTGAGCAGGAAGATCCTCCTATGCCATGTAGAGGCAGTAAATCCCCTGGGGCCCTGGGCCTGTGACCAGAATAGGGGCTGTTTATAATATCTGTGGGCTTAATTGTGGGGTTTTCACATTCATGTTCCCTGCCTCAGTTTCCCTTTCTTGTACCTTCTGTTACTGGGGAAAGAATGGGTTAAGGCTGATATGACTTACAGGGGGAAGGAAAGGGAGGGGTAACTCAGCTCCTGGGGAAGGGGCCACCAAGATTACAGTGGGCTGGTTTGCATATGAAGACACAGCAGAGCAGCACTGAGGAGGAGCCCCAGCACCTGGAGAGCCCTGCCCTCTCCGGCACACCCAGGAGGGACTGTTGGAAAAGACACTCCCAGGGACACCAGGGGGAAAGCAGAAGGCAGAAGCAGAGGAGACCTCTACCTGCTGTCGTGTTGGGCAGGATCCTCCTGCTTTGCTGCATAGGACTCCCGGTGCCCAGAGTTCATCTGCAAGAGAGGTAAAGTCCCTCTCTGGGAGAGAAGTGAAAGAGAGACCCTGGGCAGTGGGAATGCAGAGAGCCAGGAGGATGGGACTGGGAGGCCTGGGTCAGAGCCCGAAGGGCCAAGGCTCCCCGATGCCTGGGCTGGCTTCAAGGGAAGCTCAAACAGAGCATGTTAAGGTTTGGGATCCAAATAGAAAGCCCATCTGGGTAGGTCAGCACAGCCAGGCCTGGGAAGCACACAGGGTGTGCGCGGTGGGACTCCAGAGGGTTCGTGCAGCCCGGCCAGCGCCAGGGCAGCCTCAGGAGCAGGCTGTTTGCTGAGAGTTTGCTGCCTGACTGCTGGAGGAAAAGCCTGTGTGAGAGCAACCCAAGTACGTCCCAGTCCCAGTCTCTTTGCACCTGGGTCTGACTGGGAAAGACACATCCCCAGAAGTGATGTTCTTTGGATGATCCCCCTCCGGTCTGCAGGCCTGACCTGTGCCCAGGGGAACCGGGCACTTGGTGACTGCCTGGTGGCAGTGTCCTGTCTCCTGAGGGATCTATGAGAAAGGAGGAAATACAAATATGTGATGGGAGAGGTTGGACCACAACCCGCTTTCCCAACCCAGAGCCTGCCCTGCCCTGACACCCTCCATGGGGCCTCCACACTGCTCCTGGCAGGGTCCCCTGGCTCCACCAATGCACCCCCCATGGCTCCTCCACCCCTCCTCCCCCATAGCCTGGACACTCCCCAGTTTCATGTGCAGCCCCCAGGCCACTACCATGTCCTAACAGGATCCTCCTTGACTCACCCTGTATGGCCCCTCCTGGCCCTCCATCTCATCTCCACAGCCCCCACAAGCCCCACAGCACCCACCTGCCTAGAAAGCCCCTGCCCAGCCCCACAGTCTTGCAGGAAGGCGGCTCCAGGGCCAGGCAGGGGCTGCCCGGAGGGGAACTCAGAAATGAGGGGAGGCAGTGCAGGCGAGCTGGAGCAGGAGGTGCTGCTGATCGGGGAGGGTCACCCTGCCTGTCCAGCGGCTCCAGCCTGGGGCAGGCATCGCTGCAGGGAGGGGGGTGCTGCTGTAGCCCGGGACCTGCTTCGGGGCAGGGGGCTGCGGGTTGGGAGTGAGGGCTGGGGGGGCAGGGGCAGTGCACTGGCGTCTCTGGTCCCTGGGAACCTACTGGGGCCAGGGGTGGGCAGACCCTGCCCTCTTGGAGCAATCTGGGGAGCGGTCCAGGGGACTTTGTCTGAGTCCCACCTGGGCAGGGGCATCTGGGCTGTGGAACGCATCCAGGGCATCTGTGTGCCCTTGGGGGCAGGAGGTGCAGCCATGGCTGTGGGGCCCTGGGTGGGTGGTGGCTGGGAGGCCAGGGCCATGTGCAGGGCAGTGCAGGGGGAGGCAGGGGCAGTGGGGGGAGCCGTGTCCCTTGTGGGTGCCAAGGGGTGGGGAGCCAGTGCTTTGGCAGCCCTGGAGGGATGGTGGGGATGGGGGACCTGGGCCACTCTGCGGGCACCTGCAGGTCCTGGAGGAGGCCGGGGGCAGGCATTGGGTTTGGGGAGGCTGAGAGCTGTGGTTGGGGCATTTTCTGGAGCTAGCTGGGTCCCTGCAGGTGGGAGAGGAAGCAAGGCTGACCCGAGGCTGCTCTGAGTGGGGGACAGTCAGGAGCCTCGGGGCTGGACAGACCTTGGGGCCACAGTCCCAAGTCTCCCATCACATAGTGATGCCTGTGCTGTCTCCTTCCCCACAGGCAGCCCCGCGGTCAGCAGGTGCCATGTGTGAGTGCAGGGGGAGTGAGAGCCCAGGCCCCCGTTGGGTGAGGCCGCTCCTGGGGACACGGTGGCGGCTGCGCTGGAGCCCGGGGCAGCCGTGCGCCCTCCCTACACAGCCCCGGGCAGCCCGAGGGGACTCTGGGGGAGCAGGAGCCAGGGGGTCTCTGGACAGGAGAGGAGGAGGCAGGAAAAGGCCCTCCGGTTGTCCAGGCTGTAAGGGAAAGTCGGGGGCGGGGGAGAGAGGATCCCCAAGGCGGTCGGCCCCACGGCCAGTAAAGCAGCAGCTGCGGGAGGCGCCGGTCCAAGGCGGGGAGATCCGCGGGCAGGAGCAGAGCCCGGCCATGCCGG